ACGCTGTGGAAAATGGCTCAAATCCGAAGCAAAACGAAACAATGGGACGATAACTGCAGCTTCACGAATCAGAAACCGATGTCCACTTGGTCATGATGCCTGGTAATGACACATCACTGCCGGGTCTCCAAAAATAGTCACTATAGGCGCCCTGGTGTGACAGATAACGTCAAGATTACGCCGACAGCAGCCAGCACGAGGCGGACCAGCCGGACCATGTCCTCACAACTAGTTCCGAGCCCACCCCGCTGTCACAGCCGGCTCGGAGCCTTCCTGACATCACAACCGGCTTCGAGCCCTCCCTGCCGTCACAGCCGGCTCTAAGCCCTTCCCCCCCCCCCCCCCCCCCATTGTCACAGCCGGCTCCGAGCCTTCCCGCCGTCACAGCCGGCTCCGAGCCCACCCTGCCGTCACAGCTGACTCCGAACCTTATCAGTGTCCGATAACGACGGCTAAACGTTGCGCTTTTTAATGCGTGACGCTAAGCCGGATTCTTATCGATGGTTGGGTGATGGGTTGCGGTGCGATACTGAGCGATTGTGATGCAATTTTCCAAGCGAAAGATGCGAGACGGTAGGCCAGTTCCAACGAATAAATGGACGACAGGATCTGATGACAGGACAAGGTAGTAGTTAAAGCACCGACACGCACCGGTCCCAGCACCCATCCCAGATCGCCATTATCTCGCCCACACCGGTTTAGCGCACCCGCCTGCACGCCGACAGGTTGCTCACCTAGCACGCGAGCATTGAGCTCCAGCGTCACCGACTGGCCACTGTCGTCCGCCTTGGAAAGCACCAGCTTCTCCCTGAGCAGCTTCTCCTGTGAACGATCACCTGCAGTGTCAGCTCGGTGCCGTCGCCGAGGGGCAGCATCTGCTGCACGCGCCAGTGCAGGCTGGGTATATCGGCCGGCAGCCAGTCATGGCAGTGCACAGGCACGCGGCACGTGATCCGGTACTGGTGCATCGCCTTGAGGAAGCCGGCGTGATGCCGATCTTGCCGGCAGCCGGCACCACGTCCACCTTGTGCACGGGCGCGAGGCGCGTCACCGTCCTCGCCCGACTCGCTGAAGTGGACGTGGTGCTCGGCGCGTTCTGCCGAGCGTTGCCTGCCAGTCACCTCCATGCTGCTGCCTGCGGCCGCCGCGCGTGACTGAGCCCTCCGCCCTACGCGCCAGACACGCCGGAACACCTGCCGGCGGGAGAGCAGCCGTCACCCTACTACGGCGACATCTATGGGGACGCGCGTCGACTCAGTCGCCGGCGACGCCTGGCGGGCGAGTGCGAACTGGGAAGCCCGCAAATGACGTCAGACACCAGCGGGGATTTGCGAACTGCCAGGACCGGGCTAACGTTCGGGCACTGACAGCTATCAAGGCAGGGAATCCAGACCATTGCCAGCAGGCAATCATGCCACATGCTGGCCATGACGTGACTCGGTGATATATAACAGGAATTTAATGAACTTTGAAAAGCAAGTGCAACAATGAAATGAAATTCCATTTTGTGTCAATGGCACAGTTACCTTCATTCTTCTCCAAGTTTGGGGTGCTCAATAATGTAGTAGGTTAATGGGTCTGCATGAACCAATGTATGCCTGGGATACCAGAGGCACAGGGTTTGATTCCTTGTGATGCCCATCCTCCCTACCAGGGTAAGAGGCAGCCGAATGTGTTGTAAAGCCCCCATGACAACAACAATCCAAATTTGGTTGAGGTCCGGTAGCTGTTTCCTGACATAAATGTTTTATACCTTCAAACTGACTTTACATTAGGAACTTACCCTTCCACTTTTGCCATCAACTATACCATTGACTTGGAAGGAATGACATGATTGATGGTAGGGGTCAGGGCTCTTAAAACAAGCACTGGTTAGCTTGAGTTCTGATCCCAGATACCCATCTATTCATAACAGTTGGATGAAATCTTAAAAAGATTATAGAAAATATGCAGCCCAGGAGAACAAGACTCACCATGTATGGAGACAATTTACTGCAATACAGTGCATTCTTGAAAAGGCAACAAAGCATTAGGTCCAAAAATACTTTCAACCCACAGATAGCCTGGAACTTATCAAGGTTCTGCTGATGAATAATTATAATGCATCATTAGAGAGGTGCATTCAGACCTTTTTAAGCATTAACACATGGTCCTGAATGCAGATGGCCGCTCAGGGGTCAACTGGCATTGCCATTTCACTGTTTTTGTTGAGATTTCTGTCAGTGACTTTGCAGTCACTGGATCCTGCTCATGTATCTGTGCCAGCTTTATCCTGAGCATGTCTTGTTTTGACCACCATAGGTCAGCAAAAGGATCTTGTTTGCCCAATGCTGAACTACACAGTCTACCAAATGCCCCCCTATATAGTAAACCATGCCTTGCACATATAAGCCCTCCTAGTGACTGTTTGTACAATCTATGGACACAAATTAGGTTAGGTTATAACACAGTCAAGATTAAAGGAAAGTCACCTGTATATGATAGATGTCCTATAACATATTGTACACCACTGCAATGAGTCTGTTAACAGGCTCATACTACCTACACAGTGTGAAATGAGTTCTTTCTCACACCTCTATTACAGATAAAACACTTCAGGTTTGTTACTGGATATGAAATGCATAGCAATAGCAAACTGTAATTGGTTTTATTTAGATAAATCTGGGTCAAATAAAACACAGAAAATATATGTGGGTCTTAAATCAATTAATCAATCATTCAGAATTGATTTAAGAACCAACCACACTAGCTGTGAATTATGCTTGATTTAAACCCCTAGCTTAAGGTGATTCTGAATCAAATCTCATTTGATTCTTGTGGAATGAATCAGCTGAATGAACATTGCAGCAGTAGGAAGTGCTCCCAAAGGTAGGTGTCCTGTCTGTGATAAGAAGACTGGCAAGCTGAGTCTTAGAGAAATAAATGATAATATGACTGACAATATGCTTTTTGTGATTGTTGGGAGCCTGCATGGAGCAAATGCCACCCATCCTAATGCATAACATAAGGCAGGAGTACAAAGCTTTATCCTGGTTAAACAAAGGGAGCAAGGCACATGACAATGAGCAGCCAATGTTCATGGACGTTCATACTATTTTATGAAATCCTCATCCTAGATGTTTTACAATTTATGGAGAACCTAGTTGTTTCAGAGAATGTAAATAAATTCTTCATACACAAACACAGCCATATAAATACATGCTATTCATACTGTGGTGTAAATAATTTACAGATGATCCCCAACTTTTCACAGTGCTGTATCTAAATATGGGGATCCGAAATCCTGTCTTGTGATGGAAAGGCAAGGCTTGATTCAAATCATGTTGCTTCAAATTATAAATGAGGCCCCCCCCCCTACCTAAATGGAAATCAGAGAGGGTCACAAACAATTTGTTTGCACCCGAGAACTACTCCAACCACTAACTGAAGCCTGATTCGAATCTTGATTCGACTCCCAATAAGAGTAGAGCCGCTCTGATTCATGAGGAATTGGATCAAGCCCAATATTCAACTAATTGTTGCGGCAAAACACAAACTGTCCACACCACTATAACCTCACCTAATGCTTCTAAAAGCAGGCCGCCACACTCAGCCTCACCGTTCCACCGCGGCTGCCCACAATATTTTACAAATTCGCCGGTAATCTAGTTGGAGCGCAGCCAAATCGCGATCTTTTGTTGTCTGATACCGATAGGTAAGGGATGGTGGCGCGTTTGTAGACATAAGTGATTGTCAGGGAGTTGAAGTATCTTATAAATAGTAAGACTTTTATATTAATGTGATCAGCAAAAGTAGCTTACAAAAACCGGGAAAAATCACTTACTTTAGTTGAAAAAAAGTTTTGGTTCAGACTCCACAAAAAAGCCGGTATGCCTCAAACACAACATATGCTAAGAACCAAGGCGATCTAACGCTGCGAACCGAAGATTGCGGGCACACTTCTTCCACTCCCTAGCAGAAGCCAGGCGCCAGTGGAGGGGGTTGATGGACGGGGAGTGGGCCAGTGAGTGTTGGAATGCAAGGTAGGGTGGTGCGTTCTAGCATTCGATGCGATTTCTCAAATCGTTGTCCAAGGGTGGCGTGATTGTGCTGTCCTTTTGTTGATCGTACCTGCGTCAATTATGCACAGCTGTAACGATCGCCATCAGACTACAGCCCAACGGTCGATTGGTGCCAAACAAAACAGTCCCGCGCAGAGTAGCTCGTTGGTCTTATTTTGTGACAGTTTGAAGCTTTTTAAATATTTTTGCGCACTCAGCTTGCGAAAGAAGACCATGAGCATGCAATGCAAGTCATTTCGCGACTGCATACCAAATTTGATCTGTGGTGCTGCGATGAGGTGCAACATTTTCCTTGCCCTTAATGAATGTGGACCAGCCTCATATTGGTTGCCCAGCCGTGCCCAATGACCGATAAAGGGATGGTTGCCCTTTCGCCAGATGTCAGCGAGAGGCATTGCGCTTGTCCATAATGAAGACGAATCTGTCGCTGAGGCCCAGTCCCCCTCGGCTGTGGGTGGCCCCGAGAAACTGGCCAACGGAACGCCTCCGCGTGATTCAGGCCACTGGCACACGCCTGATTCTTCTGAGGCATCCGCGCACGAAGACGTGCGGCGATCCACTTCGGAGCGGTGTGCAACCCTGTCGATGGTGATGGCACAAGCTGGGACAAGGCAGACGGGGCCGACGGCCAATCATCCGTCACATCAAGCTTGTCTCAAGTCACCATGGGGCCCTCAGAACCCTGCTGCAGCGCAGGCTGTTCCTCGTCTAACGGCTGGTCCGGGACATTACCGGCTCTGGGTCAGCAGAACTCGAGTGCCGCGCTTGCGGGGCAGGCTTCCACTCACGTGACGGGGTCAGTTCCTCATCCCCCCGACCCGGCGCAGAGTGCTCTTGTAGATCGGACAGGGCGGACCAGTGCTCAGCGGTTGGCATCGAGCGCTCGGGCGACGTGCGACCGTCAGACGCTGTCATTGGCGGCGGCAGAGTGACGACACCATGCGGGCACCTTGCCATCCTCTGGACGCCAGGAGGGTCGCAAGCACAAACCCTGCGAGCACGACCACGCCCCCTACCCGTGATATAAGTCCTTTGGAGGGCATTGGAACGGAGTTCGCGGAAGTTGCCGCTCTCACTTGCCCTTTTACGCTTAATCTGTGTATACCGGAAGACGATGGGACGGAGCCTACACGCTTGACGCTCCCAGACGCTCGGTTGGCGCTGGAGCTCTCCCCGAGGGAGGACGCCGCTGCGGAGATCTCGCGTGATCCACAGCTGAAGCTCGGCCTGTCGCCATCGGAGGGGCAGGCTCAGCTGGTCAGTATTGGGGCCGTCTCGGCGTCCGTCCGGCCCAAGCGGAGAAGCCCGGCACCGGCTGGGGCCACGCCGAGCGAGCCGACTTCACTGAGCGAGCTCGGTCGCCTGGACGTGAACGTCAGCTCGTCGCTGGTGCGACGGCCTCGGTTCCTCGTGCGGCCCGCGCTGAACACCTGCCAACTCAAGTACGCGCTGGACGAGACCGCTTACCGGGCAGGTGAGGAGACGTCCTCAGTGTTGGGGGTCGGCGGTGACTGCTCTGGCCGGGGATGCAGAGATGCCGATCAGCCCATCAGCTGTGGGGATGGCCTGCAGTACATTTGGACACGAAGCGGTTCAAATGACAGTTCGGTGGCGTATCTTGACCTGGTTATACTGTAAAAATAGCATCTAGGAAGGGATAAGAGCATTTTGTGCCGTATGCTCTAGACCAAAAGAGCTATTGGATGATGTTGATCGATATTTCCAAAGAGATCTGTCCACGGGTGCAGCCACCAAGCGACTGGTTTTCTCAAAATAGAGAATGATCGTTTGGTAACGTTGTTTAACCATAACCTCCTAGTAAACTGGAGGTTGGTTTTTTCCATATGAGAACTCCTAGCTTATGGCGCCTTAACATTACGAGTCCAGGGCCTCTTGCCTGCACGACTTGCAAACGTATCAAAGCGTTGCTCGGACTCCTTTTCCAAACGGTCACTCTGGTTAATGCACAGTCATCAGCTTTTACCGTCCATGTTGGCTTACATTGTCTACAATGTCCTTTCAGAGGATTAGGCAGTTCAGTTTCACTTTTGTGTGGGTACATCCTGGCAGTGTACACGAATTTTGCAGCCTCTCGTCTGCACGTATTAGGTCAGCCGATCTGCACAAAATCGTCTTTTGCGTTTCGGACCACCATGAACAAGCGAAGAATGACAGCTATTTTCGTCGATCACAGCCGATCCATTTACAAATATTTTGTCTTCGAATTACAGGTCTTCCAAACTGTTACCGAAAAATGCAATTGCATGTCGTCTTTACACAGAAAATCATTCTTCAGCAAGATAACAATTTCGGAATCAACTTAAAAAAATTGGACACATGGACGCTACTTAAAGTAGCCAAAATCCGGGGAAAATCAGGACTGGGAGAGGGGGCAGACCAGGTCACCTTTATCGGTTCAGCCCCAAATCGGTTTTAGGCAATCCTGACTAGAATGGCGGTCGCTTGCAGTACTGTCGTGGAAAGCTGTTGATTCAACAAATAAGATTTGCCATGAGTTTTAGTTATTCGATTGAGTCCCTTGGCCCTAATTTCGCATCACCATTGCTAATTGTGTGTTTTAACCACGTCTTTGAAATGCTGGTGTAGAACATACTAAGCCGTGTAAAACACGTTTCAGACCTTACCATCTATTGCAAAAAGTATATACGTGTGGAGAGAGCGACACAGAACATGACAAGCTCACATGCTTCTGACAGCCCTTCAGTTACACTTTGACGACGTGGTGTGACGCATTCAAAGCGGCTGCCTTGTATTAGGACACCATTTGTATTGATATTTACAATTGTTTTATTTGTTTTATTGTCACTTGTAACTCATGCTCTCTAATAGGTGGATCGGATCACGACCTGGCCGCCATCGCTAAATCCAGTGAAAGTCGAGCCGGTTTGCGCAACAGACCATGGCGGGGGTGTGTCGGACGAAGAATGCTCTGCTGTTCAGCTGACTGCCCGATGCGAGCTGGGAAGCGCATCCCTGCCGTTCTGATGCGAGCGCTCTGCCTCCAGAGACGACGCGGCTGGCGCCGCCGGACGGGGGCTGGGGCTGGGTCGTCCTGGCCGGCAGCATGACCATCAACATCCTCATTCCGGGATTCATCAAATCCTTCGGCGTGCTCTTCGATGACGTGTGCGCGCAGTTTGACGTCACGCCAGCGACCGCGGCGTGGATCCCCGCCCTTTCCTTCTTCATGTACAACTTTATGGGTGAGCATGACCACTGGGTCGAGTTCAGTTCAGCATTGCGACGAGCACTGCGGCTCAGCGCGGCTTATCCCGATGCTGAGCTGCAGTGCGGCGCATGCCGTCTTGCCGGCTCGGCTGGTGGCCGCTCATGTGTCCGGAGGCGGCTGAGGTCGCGGCGCGTGCTCCCCGGCCACCGATCTGGCGGCCTCAGTGCGGTGTGTGCGGGCCTTGTGGTGCGGTGGTGTGGGGTGTACGGGCCCTGTGACCGCGGTGGTGGCGGGTGTACGGGCCCTGTGGCTGCGGTGGTGGGGGGTGTACAGGCCCTGTGGCTGCGGTGGTGACAGGTGTACGGGCCCTGTGGCTGCGGTGGTGGCGGGTGTACGGGTCCTGTGGCGGTGCGGTGGCGGCGGGTGCATGTGCTGTCCAGCTGCCGCTCCCGGCCACTGAGCGTGTGGTCCTTGAGGCGCCATCAGTCGCCTATGACGACCGCCCTCGTGGGCACGGTCCGATCGATGGCTCGGGTCCGAGCGTCTCCGGCCGGCAACAGAACGGGTGGCCCGGCCCGGCCGACCCGGGCCAGCGGCAGCTCCACTCCCCCGCGGGCCATGGCTCCACCTTGTGGCAGGGGACGAGCACCTCACGACGGCTGGGCGGCGGAGGCGCGGCCCAGATACCCTAGAGCTAGGCATCATGCATGTTGCTACCGTCGTCAATGTCACTGACGTGCCACTGCCGCTGCCTCTGCCGCTGCAGGTCTGGTGGGAGGCGCTCTCTGTCAGAAGTACTCGTGCCGCGTGACCAGCACGCTCGGCGGCCTGCTGGCATCGGCCGGCCTCCTGGTCAGCTACTGTGCCGACCACATCTACTATCTTTACCTGGGGTCAGTTCTCTCCAACCGATCAGGTCCAGCCTAACTAGGCTGTTCGGGGTGAAGCCGAACGCGCCGCCCACGGTTTTTCATTGTTTCGCAAGTTTGCCAGGATTCCAGTATGTGTTGTAGGCCATGCCTGAACTACTCATGCAACTGACCGACGGATCAAAGAGAAAAGCATGCCTTGTTGGTTGAGAAGTGGAAGAATAGGTGGGTGATAACGGCCTTCATGTCGGCCTGTTAATGCGTATGCATTAATGTGCACGTCCCGCATCGTGGCACAGGCAACATTGATGCATTAGCGTGTCTGAATTTTACGAGTGGAACCCCCAATGGTATGATCAACTTACGCCTTACGAGTGGTCATAAATCAACCCAACCGAAAGAGCACGAAACTGAGCCAACCCCGTAGCTCAGTCGGTGAAGCGTCGAACACTGGTCACCGTACAGCGGACATGGGGCTTCGGCGTCCCAGAAACTGTGTTTTGGAAACTGTCCGGTACGTGCTCAGGACGGGTCTGACGGGCTCAGATCTGCGCTCAGGACGGGTCTGACGGCCTCAGGTCCGCGCTCAGGATGGGTCTGACGGGCCCAGGTCCGCGCTCAGGACGGGTCTGACGGGCTCAGGTCCGCGCTCAGGATGGGTCTGACGGGCTCCGGTCTGCGCTCAGGATGGGTATGACAGGCTCCGGTCTGCACTCAGGATGGGTCTGACGGACTCCGGTCTGCGCTCAAGATGGGTCTGACGGGCTCCGGTCTGCGCTCAGGATGGGTCTGACGGGCTCCGGTCTGCGCTCAGGATGGGTCTGACGGGCTCAGGTCCGTGCTCAGGACGAGTCTGACGGGCTCCGGTCTGCACTCAGGATGGGTCTGACGGGCTCCGGTCTGCGCTCACGATGGGTCTGACGGGCTCCGGTCTGCGCTCAGGATGGGTCTGACGGGCTCCGGTCTGCGCTCAGGACGGGTCCGTCGGGCTCAGGTCCGTGCTCAGGACGAGTCTGACGGGCTCCGGTCTGCGCTCAGGACGGGTCTGACGGGCTCTGGGCCGCACTCAGGACGGGTCTGACGGGCTCTGGGCCGCACTCAGGATAGGTCTGACGGGCTCTGGTCTGCACTCAGGACGAGTCTGACGGGCTCCGGTCTGCACTCAGGATGGGTCTGACGGGCTCTGGGCCGCACTCAGGATGGGTCTGACGGGCTCAGGTCTGCACTCAGGACGAGTCTGACGGGCTCCGGTCTGCGCTCACGATGGGTCTGACGGGCTCCGGTCTGCGCTCAGGATGGGTCTGAGGGGCTCAGGTCCGTGCTCAGGACGAGTCTGACGGGCTCAGGTCCGCGCTCAGGACGGGTCTGACGGGCTCCGGTCTGCGCTCAGGATGGGTCTGACGGGCTCTGGTCTGCGCTCACGATGGGTCTGACGGGCTCCGGTCTGCACTCAGGATGGGTCTGACGGGCTCTGGGCCGCACTCAGGATAGGTCTGACGGGCTCTGGTCTGCACTCAGGACGAGTCTGACGGGCTCCGGTCTGCACTCAGGATGGGTCTGACGGGCTCTGGGCCGCACTCAGGATGGGTCTGACGGGCTCTGGGCCGCACTCAGGATGGGTCTGACGGGCTCAGGTCTGCACTCAGGACGAGTCTGACGGGCTCTGGTCTGCACTCAGGACGGGTCTGACGGGCTCTGGGCCGCACTCAGGACGGGTCTGACGGGCTCTGGGCCGCACTCAGGATAGGTCTGACGGGCTCCGGTCTGCACTCAGGACGAGTCTGACGGGCTCCGGTCTGCACTCAGGATGGGTCTGACGGGCTCTGGGCCGCACTCAGGATGGGTCTGACGGGCTCAGGTCTGCACTCAGGACGAGTCTGACGGGCTCCGGTCTGCGCTCACGATGGGTCTGACGGGCTCCGGTCTGCGCTCAGGATGGGTCTGAGGGGCTCAGGTCCGTGCTCAGGACGAGTCTGACGGGCTCAGGTCCGCGCTCAGGACGGGTCTGACGGGCTCCGGTCTGCGCTCAGGATGGGTCTGACGGGCTCTGGTCTGCGCTCACGATGGGTCTGACGGGCTCCGGTCTGCGCTCAGGATGGGTCTGATGGGCGGCGGCGGCGGCTGTTTCGCCTACTCGTCCGGTGTCTTGGTGGTGGGCAGCTACTTCGAGCGTCGCCGCGGCCTGGCCAACGGACTATGCGTCTCGGGCAGTGCTCTGGGCGCGATGATCTTCCCGCCGGCGCTGGATCTTCTATTGGAGCACTCTGGCTTCAGGTGGGACGCCCTGGCGACATTGGCTGCTCCTCTAGCTGACGGATGACGCTGTGACGTCACTGGGGCCCAGCCGCGGTGGGGTCCTGGGTGTTCGCGCGTGTGCTTCTTCCCAGTTACGTCTGTTTCTCACGAGCGGCATTTTCCTTCACGTCCATTGGTCCATTGGCGCCTGCCTGCCATCGATGCTGGTCACTTCCTCCCAATCGCACTAGCCTTGTCACAGTAGCTGCAGTTTCTCTCGCCGTGATACCACCATGTTTTGTCAATATAACATCAAGGCACTAGACGCTATAAGCGTCGACTTTCTCCGCAGTGACGAGAACGCTGACCCTGTAGGCGCCTGTCTTGTCGCTGCTGACGCCAGCTGTGACTGCAGTGACGCCCGCTCAGAGCCCCCTCCCCCCGTCACCCCGTTCACGCCAGCCCTGATCGCAGTGACACCATTTCTCCTGCCGCCAGTGACGCCATGCTGTTGCTGTGCGCCGTACTGCTGCATGTGGTGCCCTGCGCCGCCCTCTACCAGCCTGTGGAGTGGCACATGGTGCGCGTGTCGGCGGTGGCCGACGAGGCGCCGGCGCCGCCGGTGCCCGGGCCGAGGCCGGGGACGCTGCTGGCCTCGCGCTCGGCTACGCCGCTGCCGGCGCCGCGAGCCTCGCTGGTACTCGCCTCGCCGGCCGGCACGCCCAGCTCCCGCGGCTCGGTGCACTCGCTCTGCTACCTGAGCACGGTGCTGCATGGCAGCTCGCTGGCCGTCTCGCAGAAGGAGGGCTCGCACCAGATCATCGAGGCGGCCATCCGACGGCGCACGGCCAGCGTGTGCTCGCCGCAGGAGCGGGCGCCGCCACCGCCGCCGCCGGCAGCGGCCCAGCCACGCCGCCCGCTCATCGAGCTGACGCTGCTCTGCAACCCCGTCTTCCTGCTGATCATCACCTCCAGCGCCCTGTTCCAGGTCAGAGCACGCGTGAGACGCCCGCCCAGCTGCCGGTGGCCAGTTGGCACAGCGGAATCGTGGCTTCTTATCACCGTCCGATTGCCGCGTGTCTCTGTTCTGGCTAGCATTGCAGGAAAGGAACGCATTTCTGATGCTTCCTTTGTAGCCTTGATGTGTTGCACGCCGTATTGATTTGGACGCGTTCACATTGGCAATACGCCGTAGTCGGGATTACTTGCGGAGGTTCACGAGAACTTCGCTTTATGTTCACGCCACAACGAAATAGTATGAAGCGATGATCCATAACAAGGGTCAGTTCTGTGGTAACGTTTAACGTCAGTTACCTTTCGGCCTCTAAAATGCGTGCTAGACTGACGATACTAGTCTCGAATCTGCACGTTCATGCGACTACATTCGGATGCCAGCTACGGTGGACCATTACTCACCTCCGCATGGTATGCCCTTGGCTGTTGTTGCATGACGCGTTAATGAACACCGGCTAAGTGTCCTTCCGCGGCTTGCTTAAGCTCAGAGGAGCCGATGAAAGGGACCGTAAGGGGTGCCTTTTGCAATGGGCCCTAGTGTACGTGCACATGAGAGTCTGGCGCTCCAAACAATTCTTGGCTGGTGGGCGGTTGGATCCGATTTGCTCGCGCGCGATCTGTTTGGCTGGATCAGGGGGGGGGGGGGTCGCCGACTCAACAGCGTGGAACGGTCGGCCAGTGAGGAAGTTGAGTGGGTCGCGTGAGGCTCCGCTGGGGATTCTGGGGTCAATAGATGATACGCCGTTCCTCCCGTCAAAATGCTAATAATTGGTGATATCGGACTGCGTCGCAGCGCGCCGGCGACGCTGCTGCCTGCCCTACGAACAGAGCATCTTCGTTGTTGTTTTTTTTAGTTTCAGCCGCGCGAGCTATTCGGCGCCTCAACACCGCGCCACTGCTCAGCTGTGTATTTCCATAGACATAAATGAAGATGGCATCTGTTGAGATGTTATGCTTGACACATACCTTGATGCAGCACAACCTAGATATGCCTTTTCTTTAACAATTATTTGTACTATAACAGCAATGCACTTCGGATGTCATGTCATGTCATTGGGGCTTTACGACGCACTCAGCTGCTGAGGCTATATGGCGTCGCCTGCCTCTCACCCTGGCAGGAAGGGCGGGCACCGCGGGGAATCGAACCCCGTACCCCCGGTTTCCCAGACGCGCAGTGGTTAACGCAGACGCGTTAACCACTGCGTTAGCGCAGACGCGTCAACCACTACACTACCCAGTGCACTTCGGATGATGTGATGCAATCACATCAACATACTTGCGACGTTAGTGTGCTGTGTGGAGAGCTAAGCGACACCGTGTTCCGTTTCCCGGCGGGCGCGTCCCACCAGAACTAGGCGACAGTCTTGTTGATGCCCTTGGGGAAGCACATTGCGCAGCTCAATGCACAGCCGCCACAAAGTCTTCTCATCTTGATACAGCTTGATGTCTTCTGCTGTCGCAGCACTTCAGCGTAGCTGGGTGAGCGGGACGGTACCACCGCTGACGAGACTGCGACCGATTTGGGATTGTCGGCCGCCGGTATGGGCGGCGAACAGTGCGGTCCGGCGGCTGCTGTCGCACTGTCCTCGGCGGTGCGAGGACGGCGATCGCCCTAGTATCTCGACTTTGCCGAGCGGGGTGGGCTGGGCGCCGGCGTGTCGCCGCGCTGACGGTCGCGCCGGGGGTCGGCGCTGCGCTGCCGGCCGGACTCACGAGTCTCGAGCGCGCCGTGCCGGAGCGTCAGCGTGGTGAACACGGAGCACGCCTGGGCGTCTGGCGACGTGGCGCCGCTGACACGCCGCCGCGGCCGGTGGCGCGGCTTCTGCGGCCCAGCGGCGGCGGCGGCGGCGGCGGTGCGCGCCCACTTCTGCGCCGGCGGGCGCCCCAGGCGGCGCACCAAAGCCTTGAGCGCCGCCTGCAGCAGCGCGATGGCGGTGAAGACGGAGTAGCCGAGCAGCAGGCCGAGCATGCCGCCCACGTCGGCCACCAGGTCGGCTCCAGTCAGCGCTGGCCGCTCCTCCACCATCATCATCCACCGTGTCGAAGTAGACGCTGACGTACCAGTCGGCCTGCCGGCAGGGGCGGACACCGGTTAGCGAACGGTGCCAGCTCTCTCTGGCGCTCGGTCAGCTCAGGCAACGCCCAGCGGACACTGAATGAGACACTGGCGCAGTGGTGAAGCGCATTGACGTGCGCGGAGAGTTGGTGCAGTGAGCGCGAAATCGTCTGCATGCGATTTCGCGTCATGTGAGCTAAGCTACAAGTATCGTTGTGTTGTGGCTCCGTAGTATCAGTCTCGAGCCGTTCGGGTAGTGCTCAATTGAAAGTGCGGTGGTGGGGAGCACGTGAGTTGTAATTGAAGCTGAAAACGTGCTGACTGGGCGTAAGCCGCCATGCTCCAGAACAGCATGCAGAACAGCAGAACTTCAGAACAGCAGAAAACGTCCGCAAGAACTGCAGGATATGGGTGGTCTGTCAGTCAAACTGCGTGCGGTGAAAGCTGCCGCTCACTGGCCGAGCCACGAGCAGGCTGTCGGCGGTGCTTACCGAACCGGGCCCTGGAGCCGTGCCAGCCCCGGTCGGCGCGGCACTCACATCCCACTGGACGGGGTCGCGGGTGGTGACCCGCGTGACGGACGGGATCAGCTGGCGACAGGCGCGCCGGCAGCCAGTGGCCGCCGCCGGCTGGAAGCTTCGCACGAACCGGTCGTATTGTGCCGGCGAGCGGCAGGCCGGCAGCTGCGCCTCGGCCGTGCCCGGCGCCTCCAGGAAGTGCGGCAGGCAGCCGGCGGCAGCGGCCGCCGCGCGCACGCGCGCCTGCTCCTGGCAGTGGTGGCGGCCGGCGCTGGACGGCGCGCACGGCCGATGGCGCCGGCCCAGGTAGCGGAACTGCTTCCACGTGACAGACAGCGCCACGCTGCGCTCGCCGGGCGGCGCCCAGAACACCTGCACCGGGCTGTTCTTGTTCTGCTTGGTGCCGCCGTGTATGAGCTGATTGTGCGGCAGCGGCACGAAGTGCACCACCAGCCAGGGCCCGGTGAAGCCGCGCCGACGCCACCCGGACAGGTCCAGTCTCTCGGCCGACGGCAGCGTCTTGTTGGCGTCGAACGTGACGCACGACACCTCCGACATGAGCATGCCCGGCAGCAGGTACGTCAGCGAGATGTTGAAGTCGTCGAACGGGCTGGTGGCGTTGAAGCTGCCCTCCTCGGCAAGCAGCTCCACCGAACGGACCATGTCGGCCAGCGGCAGCGACGAGGCGGCCAGGTACTGGCGCAGCGTGCCGTTGGCCGGCCAGAGCGGGTCCTTGGACGGCGGCAGGTACTGGCTGCGCTCGCGCGCCGCGCACACGCTGACCAGCGGCATGTTCTCGGCGGGCTGGTACGACACCAGCGACGTCGTCTTGTCGGAGAGAAACTCCAGCGTCTTCCAATAGGTGAGACTTAACAGGAAGCAGACGCAGGCGGCCCGCGCCATGACGCAGGTCACGCAGATGAGGATGTTGAGCGGTCCTTGGGACGTCATACTGCGACCTAGTCGATGCGTGCAGTGCCGCCCTCTGCCCGCCGGTGGCCGCGAGCTCAGACTGGGACGCCGCGCCGCGGCAGACCGGCGCCCCGGGTCGTCAGGTTTAGGTCGATGATTTCACAGATCGGTCGCTGTTGATGGCGTATTTGTCACATCGAGTGACAGGCGCCAGGGGTCGCCGACCTATGCGAACCCATGTCGTCTTCGCATTTATAGAATCGAAAGTCAAGCGGTCTGTAGGACAATGGATGTTTGGCTCTTACTTTGTTGTGATTAGCATGGTGCTTACTTTGTTGTGATTAGCATGGTGCTTACTTCGTTGACCAGTTTAATGTCCCCGGAAGACGGGTCTGTTAAGATGTTTCTAAAATGTTTCTGGAATTTCCATTTCTGATATGTACCGCTGCACAATTTTGCCATATCTTGAGGTAGAAGGCGAAAGTAGCAAACTGCCTGTTGAGCATACGCTTACTTTGCGACCTGTTCGGCGTTCATTTCCGGTCGCATTGCGAGAAGGGCTTTACGTCATGCTCTGGCACCACAGCCGTATGCAGACTGGGTAGTACAGATGTAGCCGTACAGTGGTTTACGTTTAAGAGTCGTCGGTCGGTGACGCATCCGTCGACGACGTCAGGTTGGATACCCCTGCGCATCCACTGCTTTGCATGATCCCAGGGCAATTTTGTTCCGCTGGACCATTATCCAGCGATAATGAATTAATCAAGCAAATTGTAAGTAGGTAATTGAGCACCTCTACAGCTAATTGTTCCGAAAGGTTGATTCATCAGGTAAGTGTGGGCTGGAAATTGTTTGTTCGTCGCGATCTGAGGCATGTCGCAAGTTAGGTCTATTTTTCTTTCTCTTGCCGACATGATTTGCGAAGGGAGGCCTGAAGACCTGACTTCGTTAACACGCTCTGTCACGTGACAATGACAGCAGCGCATGGACGTCACCGGTGGGCGGTGGCAAGCTGGATGCCCTTGAATAGTACTAACGTACTAACTGACGTACTAGCTGACGTACTAATCTGCCCATGGGCAGATTAGTACGTCAGTGGCTGGGTCACTTGACGGCACCTTCTTAACATTTGGTGTGCTGAGTGCTGCACAGGCAGGGCATAAACGCACAAGGAACGGCAGTAGATATCGGACTTTGTTTTACCGAGGTACAGACTAACTGGTAAACTGACAAACACAGTAAATTACATTTTGCTTTGTTCAAGTAGAATTAAACAGTCGAAGCAGGATTTGGTGCCTATTTTTTTCGCCTCGATAAGAATGCAGCTATATCCTGCGTGGGATCCGGGACGACAGGATGCGTGTCAGCTGCTTGCAGCGAGCTGCTCTGGTGTCCGGCGGCCGACATGACTCGCTAGGCGGGCGCTGCGCTCCCCGTGCCTCGGCAAGCCCCACCGGCTGCATCACCCGGTCAGAACGGCATCACTTGGCTGTCGTTGGTACGCTGCCCGTACATAACACGAACGGGGCACGTGGCTGCGCAAAGATGGCATATCATTCGTGGTGGCAGAAGTTCAACACATTCGTATGTATGTCAGTTATTCACGAGTTACTGCATGTGTTCGTGTACGATCGCACTCGCTCAATGTTTGTCATTTAAATGAATATGTAAATGGCAGACATTAGGCGCAAGTAGCCTCATGGGCTCCAAACGGTTAAGCTGAAGAGGCTTACCCTTTCACGGAAGCACAGTATTTTGGTCATTATATCGCCACCGTGAACTTAAGCATCATTGATCGACTTAATCAGACACTAATGCGAACAAATGGTCAGAGGGTCCATCATATGGCAGCCGACGGGTAACACTCCAGGGGGGGGGGGGGATAAGTGCTGGCTCACAATCCGGAGAGTAAGTACTGGCTCACGGCCCGGGGGAGCGGGTTAAGTGCTGGCCCACGGCCCGTTTCCTGAGTGACCGCTCGAATGGGCCATGTTCAAACCTGCCTGGCGCCGTGTCTCAGGCAGTCACATCGGTCAGCAGAATCGGCAGAATTCACACGGGCTCTCCCTATGCGCGGTGTTGTGGGTGGCCCCGGCCAACTCCCATTCACACGGGTCTCTCATGCAGTTTGATGATGTTGGGCACTAAGCCGAGCCTTGCCTGCTCTCACGGGGTCCTCAAGGCACATGGAGCCGGCTCTGTGCCCCCACAAGGGGTCCTAATCGACGGACCATGAGGCCTGTGCTCTGCGTCCCACAAGCGGGCCCACAGACGGGCCATGGGAGCCGGCTCTGCCTGCCCCCCACGGGGCCCAACTGGGCATGGAACCGGCTTTGCCTGCCACCCACCGGGTCCACATGGATGGAGCCGGCTTTGCCTGCCCCCCCCACGGGGTCCATACGGGCCATGGAGCCGGCTCTGCCTGCCCCTCGAGTTCACACGGGCCATGGAGCCGGCTCTGCCTGCCACCCACGGGGTCCACACGGGCCATGGAGCTGGCTCTGCCTGCCCTCAACGGGTCCACACGGGCCATGGAGCCGGCTCTGCCTGTCCCCCACGGGGTCCACACGGGCCATGGAGCCAGCTCTGCCTGCCCTCACGGAGTCCACACGGGTCATGGAGCCGGCTTTGCCTGTCCCTCAACGGGTCCACACGGACCATGGAGCCGGCTCTGCCTGCCCTTGCAGGGTCTACAAGGGTCATGGAGCCACCGGTGCGCTGGCGGTACTTGTCTACGCAACCCCGTGGTACAACCATTTACCCACCTGAGGAACAGCCTGGCAGTGACTGGTAAGGCCCGACAAAAGGGGTGGACTAATATTGTTATGTAACAGTGGGCAAGCGGGCCAACTATTTTCGGCACAAAACC